GAAGCATTTAATACCATTCACAGTTACACTCTGGAGCAGCCTCACCTTCTCAAATCTGTCATCCAACAGGGTCAACTGCTCATTCCGTCTTATTACTGAAGATGTCATAGAATATTCTGTGAAACGACTCCTGGTTTCTTCTTGCATAAAAAGGAATTCTTTTGCCTGTCCATTAACCTCACCATCTGACAAAGGACCTTCTGAATCATAGTCTTTATCAGTACTGCAGCTATCCTTTTCATCACTATCATCTTCCATATCTTCCCATTCATCTTCATCCCCAGCATCTGGTCCCCTGAACAGAAGCACAAAACAGGTTTAGAATAATACAAGGACCTTTACATATCTCTGACCTGTGCTGGGTTATCTGAAACAATGTGGTAATAACAGATTTAAATATTGAGTGAGACACTTGTCTGAGAGCTGAAAACATTGCTAGCTGGATCATGCATCTGTGTACTGAGACTGAAGTTTATTTTTATATTCAGCTGTACATGTCAAAGCAGAAAAATATCAGCTGCACTCTTGACTATTAAAACAAGCAAAATGTCATACTGTTCATGAAATTATGAGAATGATACCAAAACCTAAGTAGATAAAATGCGGTGGCATATCACATGAAGCATTTGTAAACGTTTCAGAAACACCCATTAGCCTTCATCAATACTATTACTGATGTATTTTACATGTAATAGATGACAACATTTTAAACAGTTCAGGAACACTATTATTCCAAACATAGCATATAATCCATGACCTCAAAGTAACAACTGAAACCCATCTCTTGAATAATATAAGAAACTTCATTTCTTATCCGAGTAACACAAGGTAATATTTTTTCAACACACCAAGAGATTTAATTTGAAATCTGAAACCACTGTGGCTTCCCATACCACCACATGCAATATCAAATAGCATCTCTCCTATTTACATAACAAATATTTCAACAAAGGTCTATCTACCGCTTCTGTGGTTTATTTGCTTGTAGAACAAAATCATCTTCCAGGATATTTTCTGGATTGTCGAAGTCAAAATCATCATCAAGAGCTGCAACAATATCTGGGTCAAAATCTAGCCGTGGTCCTAGAAAGTTGAAAAAACAAACCATAAATATTTACATTTCTCTGACAATATCAAGCTACTTTCCTGGATAAAAAACAATCCAGCTGGACTGTTAATTTGCAGTAAGGAAAGTTGAGACCAAAGAATCAAAAAATCCCTCAAGAAAATTTGTAGATCTGATAGAAGCCAGGGCATGTCACCAATCTATTTGCCAATTTTTATCACTCAGAAAAAAACATTTCCCAGAGGTCTTAAGCTTCCATAAATGCATTTTAATATAAAATATTATAAAGAAAAAATATCCAGGTTAAAGCATCACATGATCAATGGCCAGCATTAGCTCCAACCCTAAAATTCCCTACATTACAAAAGGTTAAAAAGTGTTTCTTTGCTGCAATTAGCAGAATTGTCATTAGTATCCGTCAGGACAGAGACAACTGCTGTAGTTCCTTACTGTTGTGAAATATGGAGATAGCTGTGGAGTCAATGTCCAGTGCAAACATGGATACATAACAAAAACCTACTCACAACCTGAAACACTCAAATAACACTAATGAAGAAATGTAAACATTACTTGGCATTTGAAAATAAATTGAGTGAAAATCCAGTCCCAGACTTGGATTCAAAGACACAGAATAATAAATTACTAGTATTATCTACAGTTCCCCCTGTTATTAGTTTGTATTTGCTATGCAATAGTAAGAGCTCATGGATTCACCCTCTTCAAGCAAACCTAAAGAACTCTTGTTAGTTCATCACAGAAATAAGTCTCAAATTGAAACATGGGCCTCTCACAGATCATTCCTTATGTCTGTTACTGAGCCTGTTCTAAGCCAAAAAAAACATGACATCACAATAGAAGCCTTAATTACCATCTAATTTCTAGATGGCAACTCACATCACAGAAAGGTGAAAAATACCTGAAACAGGAGCAGCTTTATTTAACAAGCCCACATCCTCTTCAAACTCTGTGGCAAATACTGAGGAAGGCAACTTAATGGATGGAGCCTTAAAAAAAGAAACAGAAAAACATGTATTTGTTCTCAGTTTCTTATTTGAGCTCACATTAACAAAATCATGCAGACGCTCCCGTGACTGAGAGAAACTCTGTGAGCACTACTTAAATGTTACAACAAGTGCTATGTTATCCATGGCAAAATTTCAGAGTTACACAATGATAGCTACGTAAAGTGCTGGCAGCATCAATTCTCATAGCAATATTCTCCAGTAGAGAAACAGTATTTTTTTACATCTCTAAAGCTTTTTAGAAAATGGTTGTACAGTAGGCACACTGAAATTTTGAAAGTTTTTTTGGTTTGTTTTGGAGAACACTAACACATATTTGAATTCACCCCCTGACTGAAAGGCTTGTTAAAAGCTTCACAACAAGCACATCCAACCTAACTTTAAACCTTATTTAGTATCACCAAGCTGTATCTGAAAGGTACTTCTGACCAAGGCTATTAGTTTTGACTAAAATTACAGTATTTGGTTAAATCAAACACCCTCAGCTATAAGTGACTGGCAATGGCATGCTTCATTGTTTCAAAGCATTTACTGCTTTTCCACTCCAATGTGATCCAACATTGTCAACTTCTACATGTTATGCCAGCAATTGAAAAGTTTGGTTTTATTCCATCTGGCTTCTATTACATTCCCCTTTAAAAACATGGTGTGCTGATAATCCAACCTGGTATATTCGTAACTCCCAGAGCATTCAAAAGTTCTAAAAAACCTTAAACATAAATACCCACCCCAGAAAAACACATGACTTGCTCAAACAAACACCTTTGCAAGCCATCTCTGTAGAAAAAAGTTTCTCATGGGTATCTGAAGTGTTTCAACAGTGTGCTAGCAAAATAATGTTCATCAGTAAACTCTGGCTTGTCTGCTTCTGGGTTAACTTGTAGGAAAGGCAAGTTGGTTGTGGGTCAAAAGGATCCTTATATATAAATATAAATATACACACACACACACAATTAATGTGTCTAGAGAATGTTAATGCTCCAAAGAACAGTACTAGCTTTTAACAAAAGTACTACTCACTGAAATTCTCTGAATTTCATCCTCTATGTGCCCCTCACTTGTGATGACAATTCTGCTTTGCTGTCCACGCACAGATGGGACAAGCTCAGAGGGACCAGAGGCTTCTTTAAGGTGCTGCAAATAGTCATAGTCATCATCAAAGAAGACACCATACTTGCGCTGCTCTTCCCTTCTTTGCTCCTCATGCCCCTGGGAAGTGGGGAGAGAATAAAATAATCAAAATGAATACATTTAGTTACTCAAGTCCACTTAAAACTTACTAGCAAAAGGAAAAGCAACACATCAACGGAGAGTGTCTGACTGTTCAAGTCCTCTCTGCACTCCTTACCCTAATTCACAGCCGATTACAATGTTGTAATCAGCTGGTTCCACGTCTGGGTGCTGTCTGAGCAGAACCTTCCCATCAGCAACCATACCCAACAATGCCTATTTTATCACAGTGACTCAGGCAAATTTTGTTGTTGTTTTTTTAATACATTTACTACATTTAATATGTTTACTCTAATGCCAGTTAAGTCATCCTTCAACCATCAGGCAGTAACTCACAACTATGAAATTCCCTACAACAGCCATTTTTTTTTTAAATAAGCCAAACTAAAAACAGGCTATGTTTTTGAACTGTATAATCGCGTATCAACTTTCTTCCTCCATGGTGTTTCTTATTTGAATAAACCTCAGTATTAAGAGTGAGTATTTACTTTCTGTGTGGGCAGCAGAACTCTCTGGGGTGCAGTATCATCAGCAGCAAGAGGATCCCTCTGACTTCGGTGCACTAAGTGAAATGTTACTGCTTTCTTCTTCTCTATGAAGGGCTTTTTCTTCTTGTGAGGCTGCAAAAGGAAATTTCGTTAACTGTTAACAAAAAATTAAATATTAAATGCACCTGAAGAGAACATGTAGTGTGCTGCTATATTAATTTTAAGGCAATGCCTTATAAACACAGGCTTGGAGACAAAGCATAAGGAGACCAGCGGGAGCTCAACTCATCTCCCCACACGCACAACAGACATTTCAAATGTTTTAACAGCAAACGCAGCTTCTTCAGCTGGAAAATGGCAATACATCGAACAGTAAACATCTGATAACAGCACATACCGTTTAACATACAGCCCTAGAAAAGAATTCTGCAACACACTTCATCCAAGAAACACGGGAAACTGGAAAGGAAATTCATCTAGACGCATCTTGCTTCGTGAGAGTTCTTTAGGCGGCTGCTCCTAGAGCAGCAATTCAGCCTCAGACACGAGCACCGTGCGCAGCACACTATCCAGGCACAGCTCTAACATCGAAATACACATGCGGCCTGCGGCCTGGACCAACAACCCCCCCCCAAGTATTCTCAACTGGCTGAAAGCCTTTCCTACGACTTACGAGTTACCACATCCGACACGGAAAAACACTTCTAGCAAGGCTTTACCTACCTCACAAACGGCGTTACAGCCCATATGGGATACATGGGGGCGACCCTATTGCTCTAACCTGCCTTCCCCCCTGGCAATCCCGAGTCCCAACACGGCACACTCACCATGGCGCTGTCCCCCGGCCGCTCCCGCCGTCCCCAACCCCGCTCGCTCCCACGCGGGCCGGGCCTCAGCGCCCCACGGCTGCGCCCTCCATCTTGGCATACACCAGTGACCAGCGGGGGGAAGGGGATAAGCGGCCAGTCCGGCCAGGTTTGGCAGCTTTTGTTTCCCAGTTAAAAAAAACCAAACAATAAGTATTTTCCCAGACGGAAATAATATTTTGATAAAAGAGAGGCTCAGTGGACCTAAGCAGGATGCTCGTCAGAGACATATTTTCTCAGTTCTCCCCTCAAAATAGTTGGGAATGGTTCGGGCCGGCAGCGTCCCCAATGGCAGAGCGCGGCGCAGGCGGCCAAGGAGCAGCGCGCGTGCGCAGCAGCCGGGCCCGGGCCGGCGCTCGGTGAGGGGCGGGCGGGCTGTGGGCGCTGAGCCTGGAGGACTGGGAGTGAATAACACGGGTTGCCATTAACAGTGTTTGGCCTGTTAATAACTCACAAATATTTGAGTTCTTATTTCTGACGAGGAATGGCTGGGGGAACTGGGTCTGGTCAGAGGAGAGAGACTAAGGGGGAGACCTCATCAATGTCCATGGGTATCTGAAGGAGGGTGTCAGAGTTTGGTCCAGGCTCTGCTTGTTGGTGCCAGGCAATAGGACAAGAGGCAACAGACAGAAACTGGTGCACGGGAAGTTCCGCCTGAGTAGAAGGACGAATCTCTACCATGCAGGTGATCACACAGTGGAATAGGTTGCCCAGAGAGGCTGTGGAGTCTCCCTCACTGGAAATACTCGAGAACCGTCTGGACACAATCGAGTGCCATGTGCCTTAGGATAGCCCTGCGTGAGCAGGGAGGTTGGACCAGATGTTCCACTATGGTCCTTTCCAACCTGAACCATTCTGCAGTATGACTTTAGCTGTATAAATTTTACCTACACCATGTAGCAAGGCTGTGCACACACACACGTACTCACGTACAGGCTCCTTGCTAAGAAAAAGAGAAGTGTGCTTGGTATTTTAAAATCTGCTTTGTGACTTTTCAAAAGAAAGTGTAAAACACAGAGGGGAGGGTTTTTTCCCCATGTATTTACAGGCAAATAGTAACAGCTAAGAAGAGGTTTTTACTGAAAATTCAGAAAAGTTATCCACATTATGTGTGTATGGATGCAGCTAAATACAGATACATGCATGTACCTTAAAGTATTAGCTTTAGTCATATTTGGGTGGATTTCATTGGTTTTCAGTAGGTGTCACTAAAGCTCCAAAATAATCCAGATTTTCATTCTTCTGGCCGTTTTCTGAAGTTTTGAATCTACCAAGTTTCATCACACCACTCTTGCAGAAGTGCACAATCTAATCTGATCCACTCAATCCGGAGTATTCGGATGTACCCGGAGGATTCAGATTATCTCTGCATATATCTGTGCAAAGGCTGGACTTTCCTCTTCCTTGTGAGAAGTGCCCGGTGAGTGTCTCGTTGCTGTCAGCCGTGTGCGGGTGTGGTGCGCACCCTGCGGCAGGAGGAGAGCAGCAATGACCCCTCCTGGACCGCAGCCTGCAAATGGATTTTTCGTCTGCACCCAGCAGCAACAACTCCCTGCAGTATGTCTGTACTGCCAACCCAGCGACAGCTGGAATGGCAGAGCTGGATTTTCACAAGGTAATTAAGAACAGACTCAGTCAGCTGTTGAAAACACAGTACTTAGCATTTATTTGTGGGGTAATGATGTAGGATAGATTACTCTTTATTGCTTCCAAGTTCCTGACATGCCTCTCTGGTATCCACAGAAGTGCATAGACTTGCTGACAGGATTACACTTCACAATCCTCTAAACCTGGCACCTCCATATCTGGTGGTGGCAATACTGTCATTCCACACACCCCAAATCTGGTCTAGGAGCATTGTTTCAGTTTGGATGTGGGAAAAAAATTAACTTTTGCTCTCAGCTCTGCTGTTAGTCAGCTGTTTCCTAAGTGTAAGATAAGTTTACCTGTTAAGCCTCAGTGTTTTCTGCCTTTCTTTAGTTTATATTCTTTCCCTGAATTTCCTGGTTAGATTCTTAAGTACTTAGAGGGAAGGGTATGTATGATATGTTCACACAGAGATTAAAACAGGTTCCTTCCCATATCACAGAAGATTGCTCATTTATACTAACAGTAATACATCTGTATACTACATCTGGGGATGAGTTTGAATTGTGGATTAGCAGCAATCGGCACCACATTACCTCTTTTGTTGATACCTGAAGGTGTCTCATCTCTTGATTTATATAAAAATTCAATATTTAGTATTGCATATATGTGAAGTTTGTATGAGAGAGTGTCTCAGAGACTGCTTAGGCTTCTCGTTTCATCTGAGCCTTACAAGGCCATCCATCTCACTGCATTCTCTCACTGGGTTCTTTGCAGAGACTACAAACAGAACTCAGCAAAGAGCATCTACAGAGACTGAGGGGGTAAGTACTCAGGTCACTGACCACTTCTTTTATGCTTGCAGAAGAAAAATGGTCAGTGTAGAGTCTCACTGTCAAGGCAGCCACTTAAAAGATAATATGCTGGAAGCACATCCTTAACATAATCATCAACTTGCCTTCTGTGTGAGGAAATTTATACTAACTTTTTCTCTTAGTTCTTGCAAAGAATAAATTATTTCAAAGTAATTAAAACCAAAAGTTATTGTCAGTCACTTTGAGAGTTAAAAGATTGGCAGATGCACTGCTGACCAGGCTGAACCCTCAGCTGTGCAGATCAGTTTTGTTCCTGTGCAGAGAGTGTATTTCCACTGTAAATCTGCTGTCAATGAAACTGGTAAGAAACACTTCTTGCTGATAAAAAAAAGGGGAAACTGGGAGCATAGATTAAGTCTCCAAACCATTGAGCTACAACCCTAACTTTGTTTTTTTAAACCAAGTGTCACCTCTTTGAACACACCTCTCCATGAATACACCACACACATGGAATTTACCAGATGTGTTTGAAGGATTGCCAGAATTCAAAGGAAGGTTTCAGCTACCTTTTTTCATTTCCATGAGGAGGGAGCTTAATTTGGCCTCTGGAGGCTCTCTGAATTTAACTCTACTATGTGTGCCTATGTACATGCTAGAGATTCAAGAAGAAAATACTTTCAGTAAAGATTTTCTGAACAATTTTAAAGAGGTGATTTTTAAATTTTTCTATTTATAAATATTCATTCATATATATCTATAATTCAAAGAGCTAAACAATTGTCTGAGGCACTTGGAACCGTGCCCAGCAGAGTTTCCTACAGTACTGTACAACTAGGCAGCATACTTTCAGTTTCCTTGTTTAATACAAACACCATAAGACAAGCATAACATATGTGCTGTATATACCCCCAATACATTCTTTATGTTTTTCAGGTGATGATACTGGAATATATTTGTGTGTGTGTGTGTGTATACACACACACACATTACATTATAGATTAAACCTCAAGAAGCAGCTGTCATTAATTTGTAACAGTTACTTGCATTCACAGAGATTACACACCTCTGTAAAACACAGTATCAGATCTGCCACTTCTTTAGAGTCACCCTATTTAATCACACTGAACCAAATAGATGCATTCATTTTATAATTGTTACATAAAATCTGCTCTGCATAAGCTGAAAAGTTGTCGGTATTGATTCTCCATAGCCTTCCATCTTTTGAAAGTAATGAAACATGTGGAAAGTACATTTTAAAGGGACAGCAATTCTAAACTGATAATGTTTCAGATACATTTTTTGCAGTTACCAGTAACTATTTAGCATGACAGCCAATGGGGATCAAGGCTTGAGTTTTATTTGCCTTACTTGACTTGAAAATGGGAACATTTAATGAAATCAAAGGAAGTTACTTAAAGAATAATTTTTCATTATTTTTCATCAAATTTCTAGAAAAAATAAAGTCTAAGAACTGGCCCAGTGTGTATGAATAGGTGACACTCTGGATGTAAAAGTTTTATTCCAATGAATTAATTTAAAAATTCCATTTCAGGTGATTGTGGCTGCCTTAGAGTCTATTCAGCAAGTAAGAATCTTCTGGCTGTACTGGACCCTTGGAAGACCCTTGGAGTTGCAGCTCAGCAACCCACACTGGTGTGGGTGTGTGATGGAGCCCTCCTTACTGGAGTCATTGCCCTGCAGTGGCCGTGTGGACTTGCTTGGAAGGAGTGCAATGATTCCTACTGCTGAACCTGTCCTGGGCATGTGCTGCAGCTCTGCCAGAGAAATAGAGGTTTGTGATCTCCCAGTGTTTAAGGTGCAGCTGGGTCCAAAGCACGGCACAAACGTGGCCATGATTTACTGTTTGAGCTATTGTGCCCCAGAATGCCAGGAAGGGACACAAACTTACCAGCTTTGTCAGCTCCTGTGTCCACAACGGTGTCTGGGCTCTGCAGTGTTCTTGTGCCTCTCCCAGATTTGCAGTTTGGCTGTAAATGTTATTCTGGGTTTTTTTTCAAGGAAACCCTCTCTTCCCCCCAAAACTTAAGAGCTATTTAAACAGTTGCAGGCAATTAAGCATGTGCCATCCTCACACCCTTCCCCCACTGCTGATACAGTTGAATGCTCATTCAAACAAGCCAATGATATTTTTGTTTCATACCAGCTAAAATAATAATAATCCAAAACACAGTATTTCTTTAATTCCAAAATTTATACAAGTTTTCAAATCAATATACCACCACACAAAGTAGGGAAAGGAAGAGAAGATATGTTTAGCAACATTTTAACATTTTACTGTATCATAATGTTCAAATATTGTTAAATTTGACATAGTATTGCAAAAAATTTTTTAATATAAAGAATTTATGTTTGAACAAGAAGATACAGATAATGCCATTGCTTTCTTTGTTTTTATCCAATGCAATATGTAGCTTCTACAAAATATTGGTGAAATGCTGTATCTAGTTCATATGAGCTTTATTTCCATTAAAATCTTGAAATGAAATGGGAACATGAAGTGAAACAAGTAATTATGAAAGTTCATAAATAGAAACCTGTTTGAACATAACAGCAAATATACGTTAATTTCACTCAATTTCTCCCTTTCTCTCTATAGATACAGTTTCATAAGTTTTGGTGGGGCTTTTTGTTCCGATTTCTGTTACAAAAGAAGTTTCAACCTATTCTGGAGACTTTTTTTTTTTAATTTGACCTTCAAAATATTTTTGTATCAACCTTATAAAATCTTTCAGAATATATTTTTTTCTTTTCATCATAATCTATGTCCCATCAGTGAATATTGCAGTGACCTTGGTATAATAAGAATACAGATAGCAACAATAATGGAACTAAATGTGGACGATCCTAAAGGCAGGAGGCAAGTTTACTCATATCTGTTTTTTCACCCTGAGTATATTTTCAGTTTAGTTTACAACAATGGCACAGGTCTTAACTTCTGAAGATCATTAAAACCAGAGGACGTGAATGTGTTAAACACACGGTTCATGTGCACCTGACAGTCTCATGCAAATGTAGGCTTTTAGCTTGGTTTATCATTAAAGCATTAACAGACATTAAGACAGGGGCCAATATTCTGGTCTCTGCTTGGGATGTCAGCAGTGCTCAGACAGGGCTGTGCTGCCAGATACCCAGGTGACAGTGTGGCTCTTCGTACCCTGACTCCAAGCCCTCCCAGCTGCAGAGAGGGAGTTTTGTTTGATTCCCATGCTGCCAGACTGTGTTTTCAGTCTGTTGCTGGCTGGATCTTCTTGTGCTTTATGATGATACAAAATCGGGACTCAGACTGTGTTTATAGTCAAGTTAAGTAGCTGTTAATTTGAAACAAATTCTCTCATGTAGCTGTTGTATTATTAATACAGGTCTGAGTTTGAAGGATCTCTGCAGGAAACCAACCACTCATTTCACCTGGAAGGAGAGGTCTAATGTCTATAATATCAGGGATACTTCTTCATTTCACAGCTTTTATTTGGATTTCAAGTTAAAAATGGGTGCTTATGTGATGTGGTTTTTCCATGCCAGCACTGAGGTTGTGGTGCTTCTCCAAGAAGTGCTCAGGTTGGCCCAAGCAGATGGTGGGGCTGTCCTGCCCCACACCACATCAGAGGTTGGTGAAGTTCACCACAGCAAGGGACATCCACAACTGTAGGTAAATGATAAACCCAACAAATAAATGCAGTCTTGTAGAACAACAAATAGCCATGAATACTTACAACGATTTTGAAGAGATGTTGCTTCTGGTCCTAACATGTTTCAAATCACCAGCTGAAATTGTATTATCTTAAATAATCATTAGCATTTAATTTTTTTGTACTTGTTGAGTCAACATATATTGCACAATTCAAAAAAATCCAGATAGACTGTATCTGAGTTATAAAGACTAATATGTATTACCTGAAAGAAGAGAGAGACGAGACACTCTAGAACCATTTCAAATTTTTATGTGAAGAAGAAAATAGTGTTTGATTAAGTATCCATTCTTTTTCACCCACAGCAACATGCTGTGTTCTGTGATTATACTGATAAATATTATATGTGAAATCATTTCAGAAACCACTACTTCAAGCTGCTCATTTTCTCTTTCTGTGGATGGTGGAACACAGGTATCGTGTATGTAAGGTTTGTCATATATGATGGATGACATTTAAGTGATTTGTCCAACTTGATAAAAATTATCGTCCTGATTCCTCTTAGCCAACTGGCCTGTACTATACTTTGCATGAAAAGTGCCATTTTCTCTTTGCATGTTTAACATATTTTTCTTTTTAACTCTACAATTTTTAACTCATAAATTTAATTTCTCAGGACTTACCCTGATTTTTCTCTTTAGAAGGTAGGCAGCGCCATAACAGGTATATGGTGTAATATTTCCAATGGGTTGTTGATGCAACTGGAAAACATTTGAAATTATCAGTACAGAGGACTAGGAGAGGCAGCAGAAATTGACTTCAGGCTTCTTAAAGCAAACTTGCTTCGCTGCACATGGTGACATACTAAATTCTCATTATTTTTTATTGCATGGACAACACTTTACAGCTGGTTTTTTTTTTCTGCCAGGTGATATTTAGAATACAAAAATAGTATATTCAATTCTATGTCTCTGTGTGGATACAATACACTATGGATAGTTTGGAGTTCTGCTAGCTCTTATAATAATCTTACGTAGTATACTACATAAGTTCCCATAAGCTCTAGTTCTGCTACCTCTTATAATAATCTTACGTAGTATACTACGTAAGTTCCCATAAAGGTAGCTCTTTTTGCCCAGTTACATAAATGTGCTTAATTAGTTTGCTGAACTGTGGGCCACACAATGCATCTGATTATTATCAAAATAGTAAGAAATTAAAAATTAACTCAGCATCTCTACCAAGGCTAGAGTCATGCAACTAGAAATGGCTTGGAGGCAATACTTTGAAAAAACCCCTCCAACCCCGGAAGGAAGATAGGGAAAGCCTAAGTGATAACTCATCTACATAACTTTAGCTTGAAGAAGTCTGAGCCAGAAGTTGTATTCTCATCTTTGTGTTCTTGCTCTTAAAACAGTAAGACTGGCACATGACTTTCCATCCATGATCCAGGCCTAGTATAGAGAAGTCTTCTTGCAAAGTCAATTTTTTCACTTCATCCTAAGAGTTTAACAAATTTTAGTTTGCTTGTATAACCATAACTTGGCATGGTGGTGGAGCTGCTGTCTTATATAAAATATTTATAGTCTGACCTTACCTTTGTCCGAGTTATTCTGCCTATGCAACAGCTGTCTTTCTGTCTTCAGCATCTTGGCTGCTTTCAAATGTTTCAATGTGATTAATGCAACACTGAGATCTATTTAATTGCTCCACTATTTTCCTTTGATGTGAAATACTGTGTTTTATATTTCAAAGCCAACATAGTAGACCTTTGTATGATTTTGGACACCCATTCCTAAATTTGGCAACATCAGCAAAAAGAAATTTAAGTGGAACTATTCTAGTGTAACTTTAAGTTTACTCTTCAAATTCTAAAAATAAAAATTAGCATTCTACCAGAATTGCTGACAAACCTAATGCCCTCCTAATTCCTGTATGATTTAGTGCCAAGAAGACATTTTCACTGCTTCCTTGATGTCAAAGTGGTATTTCTATATTTATAAAATGATGGACTTTCCAGAAGCTTATTTTCTGCAAATGGAATCCTAATGGCTCTTATTGATTCCATTAAAAAAGGAAGGTGCTGCTTCCTTTTCTTTGCTACAAGCATGTAGATTACTTTTTTTATTTGGTTATTGATATTTTGTGGCTTGTGCATCACTAGATTTTCACAAAAATGTAATGGATCCTAACAGTCATTTAAATCTTACCTTTTTTAAACAAGGTTTCCCAATGTCTTTAAAAATAACAGAGTGACAGAGAGTGACTGTTGGAAAGCACTCTTCTGCTACTAGAAGCACTCTTCATTAAAATAATCCACCTAATTTATGCAAACCTGGTCTTGTTGTAAATAGCTCTAAAGAGGGATATCTAATTTTAGCCACCAAATTGCCTTCCTGCCTTTAGGCTGACATCTCTAACAACAACCTTTAATTTTATAAACTAAACACATTCCACAAGAATCTATCACAGGTTCTGAGGTAAAAATCACATCTACACAGACCTTTTATTGCCGGAAAAAGAAATACTTACACTTCATAATTAAAAACTGAACAGGACACATAAAAGACAAAAAATAAATTGTACTATGTACACACATTAGAAAGGATAAATAGCAAATATATTGTAATACTGCATTAAATGTATGCATATGTGAATTCCAGAGCCTCCTCCCCCAATGTTGTGTACACTAATTCAAAGGATAAATAAGTGCTAATATAGGACAGAGAATTTCTTAGTGTAAACAATGCCACAGGCTTTTTAATAGGCCTTTGGGCCAACTTAGAAAAAAACATGTATTGCCTTTCACACTCCATACCACTTAATTTTAATAGTACTCTATTCACATGTAAAATTTCAAGATAGTATAAAAAATTAGGAATCTAAGAAGCATTCTTCACACTCAACAAAAACTGGAGATAATTAAAGGATTTTTCTTTCACTTTTAAAGGACCACTAGCTGAAGACATACTGATTAGTCTGGGAGTTCTTCCTCAAAGCAGTGCAAGAGTCCTTAAATGTAAAAAGTTACATTAGGAATCACCGCTCAGGCCTATTAATAAAGACTTCTGTGCCTAATTTCAATTCTGACTTTGGGTTCACACTAGCATGATGTCGAAGTTGTCACCACTGCCTGCCATGGATGACAAAGATAATGATCCCTCTGGTTTGAATGGCAAGTGACAGACAGCAAGGAGTGTTTCTAAACACAAAGCATTTCATTGCACTCATAGTGTCACATTATTTGTCCTTCAAATCCTGTTTATGTATCTTTGAAGATCCAGAGTATGTCAACATTAAAAAACCAAAAAATATATTACTTGTTCTGTATGAATGTTCCATGTGTTTTCCTGAAGCATGCGCACTGGAATTTAAAAAAAGACAGTTGAGTTATACTAATTTCTGGCAACTGTATTTACTGGCACCAAAGAAAATGATAGTTCTTCCTAAAGTACTGATGACACGAGGACTTATGGCTTGCTATCTTTTTAAGACAGGCTGCAGCCACTAAAAAACCTACATGCACAGTTGCTTACACTCTATTTCTTTTTTAAAATAATTATTTCCACTGGCCAAGTGCATTGTTGAGCAGTCCCATCCATTCCACTTATCTCTGTGGACTGACAAACAAAGGCTCTTTTCCCCCAGCTCTCAGTTCTTTTGCCACCCCCCCACACCGTCTTTGTTGCCCTCAGTCCCAACCCCATGAAGCCCAATGAGATCCTGGCATCAGGCTCTCCAGCGATTGTCTTCAGCACTTCCTGACTCGTGGAGCTCTTGACAAACAAGTCCACTGGCTTGTCCGTGTGGGCTGGCCACAGAACCGAGGTTTGTCTGGACATGAACAAACGCATCCTGTGGGTTCTCCTTCTAGACTAATCATTTGTCCAGTGACAACAACAAGGGCCACTTTCTTCATTAGCCTCAGGGTAAGCTGTAGCACACACTCATACTCTATCAAGTTACAGTGCAATTTCAGGTCTTCAGGATGCAATGATTTTCCCAAAGAAAATTGTTACTTGTAATATGGGATGTGGTCAAACAGTTATGGACGATGAAACCTGAAAAGATAAATTAAAATCTTATAATTATGTTATTTCAACTGACAGTGACACTGATCCTCATCCTGCTCTCATACTTGTTTCCTTTTGAGGGCCAATTATTCCTGATTTTCCTGATCTGTGTTTGTTTAGAGTCAGACTTGTTATTTCCTGCTGTCCATTTCTCTCTACTTAGAAAACCAAACAGATATTTGGTGTGGCTCAAGCACTCGGGTGTTGCTGTCTGTCTGTACCATTAACAAGCCAGTGTGGTCCCTGGCAGAGTTTTGCTTGGGTCAGCCAGTGCTTTCAGGTACTGCCTGGACATGGTTGGGGTTAGCAAAGGACAGTAGGCAGGCTGGGTATGGGGGGACATCACCCTGTTTTGAGGTGAGAGGAACAGGTTAACTGCATGGATTCAAGCTGTGCCAAGCTTGCTGGCCTCAGGGCCAGAGAAGAGTCTCCAGTCTGTTTGCCAATACAGATTTAGCACAATTGCATCTATTATTTGGAGATGCTGCCATTAAGTATTATCAGAAAAGCTTTATTAAACCATAAAAATCAAAATTCTGGGGTTTTAATGCTTGTGTGAAATGAGGCTAACAAAAATTTTCTATTTTCTTTTAAGTAAGCAGCAAATTTTATAGCATTTCAGATGCTTTCTTATTAGCAGCAGTGAACTGAGGTACATGAAGACCCAAATATACCTCACTTTTTTAGGCTTTTAGGGCATGTACATCACTCCACATTGCCTGTATGATGACTAGAGAAGTGGGTTGCTCCAAAAGGTGTCACCAACCCTTTCTATAATATTAGGAACCTACAGCAACTGAAATTCTAAATCATGTTAAATGTAATGCATCCAAGCAAAAGGGTAAGGAGGGCACCAGTATCATGTTTTCAGTGTATAGACATGTATCTCTGTTTAAATGGCTTTAAAAATGCATCTGTCCATGAAGTAGTAAAAGATGCAACAGCTTGATGCATCTACACAATAAGTTTACCTAAGTTTGTGTTTGATACATTTTCTCTTAATGGTCCCACACATTATCCCTGTAAGTTGATTCAATACAATAGAGGGATGCATTTCTCAAATGAAGGACGTGTGCACAAAGCCTGACATTCACGATTATACAGCTCATCTGCTAAAAGAGGGTACAGAGGATTGCTAAAAAGACACTGGGGTTTTGTATTTTGTGGAAAAACAATATACTGGACTATATATAGCATTTTCATTAGAAACACTTCATGAACACCTGCTAATATGCTCCTCCCAAACTTATATTGACTTCTCTATTTTTAGAAACTAATTTTCTTGGATTTTGTTATGAAATAACAGAAAGAATCAGTCTAAATTACTAGGACTAGAAAACCAGTCAATTGACAATCATTACAGTAAATTATGAACAATGACATCCATTGTTCTTTCTTTTCCAAGTTTGATATAAATTTTCAACATTTCGAATATATTGTAAGTACTGACTATAATATTAAATAATCTATATTTAATCTGCAATAATATAGAAAACCATATACTATAAACTATTTTTGTTTAGTAAGCAGTTTCCTTGTCTCAGTCTATCACAGACTAGCCTTTGCTAATCAGGTGCCAATGCAAGTGCCTTTTGGTTTGGATTATTTCAGCAATCCTGAAAATAATTAAAGTATGATAAGTTAATTCTCTGGCTAGAGACTTCTGTCTATGGTTTTCTTAAATCACTTTTGTTGTACCAATCCAATATTACATAGCAGAAAGAACATAATTTTTAATGAGATGTCCCAGAGAAAAGGGGATCTCTTTTTATTTTCAAAATTGCAATTGACTTAAAACATCTGCATATTACTATGCTCTTAATTAGCTTTTTCTAGTGTTACTCTTCTGACTTCTGTGTAGTAACTCCACAACATGACCAGTGAAACAAAATAGCATGGATAAGGAACAGAAAAAAACTGATTTCCCTCAGGTTGAAATTCTTTCAGCTCTCTATAGAATCATTGCCTGTGTTTATCACAGTTTGGCTGTGCCTATTTTTTACTCCATTTTCGAAGGCCCTCCTTGAAAAAAAAAAATTCACTTTTTTACTGGTTTGTTACTCCACAAGATTCCTGGTTCAGCTTTCAAGAATCCAGTTGTAATCAGCATCAAAGCTCATGAAAAAATATCCAATTCTTTTTGTATGAATCATGCCTGTCAGTACTTAGGCTTCAATATTGCAATGCAGTTCAAGAAGCACAACAATGTAAGCAAGTGGTTGGTTTCTGTACCTGCTATTTTTACTCTCTCCCTTGCGATGCTCTTTTTTTAGAAGTAGTATTTTTATATATTCTGAAAAAGATATATTATGTGCTACCTAAAGATAAAACACATCAAGCCAAATGAAAAAATACTTCTCCATGTTTGAAAAAGACATTTATTTTCTAGTGGTCAGAATGCAACACTCCATTAAAACCCTGCATCCTGGTTCATCTTCTGGCTTAGGCTTCCTGTCTGTGAAAATGGTTTGAATTTTTAAAAATTGATTTGTTTATGTTGTATCTACACAGAAGTGACTTTAAGTTATTATTTTTTAAAAGCTCCCATGTTTTGGTGAGAAAGAAATCACTGAAGTTCTGAAATCAAACAGTGAAGTAGCATATACATAAAACACCCATAATGAATTTTCTTTGTGACACATTCTTTAATTAGGCGATTCACACTCACTAGCTCAGATCCTAACTCTGGTTGAAACAGAAGGGACCCAGTCTTAGACAATTGTTTTGGTTTGACTTAATTTTCTGCAGAAGCAAAATGTACTATGTACACAATGTTGGCCAACCCTAACATCAAGTTCTGATTGCTGGTGGCAATTTTCAGCCTTTGTAGCTTCCAAGAAAAATGAACACATGCCATGGAGATTTCAGAAAGTGTGTCACTCCCCCTAGGAATAATTCTGCCAAATATGAAGGCCTGCTAAAATCTGTGGATACTTCAGTGCTCCTTAAAAAGAACAATGCTTCAGACAACATCTTGGTGTTATCCAAAGCAGAGAACAAAACAAATCCACATTAACACATTAGAAGTGGAAACAAGGGAATCTATCTTGTTCCCCAGAAACTGCTGCTTTTCTGAAGTTCAAAACATCATCTAATTTTCACTCAGGAAATGCATCTACACAAATGTATACTTTAATGAGCAAGGGAGTGCTGCCAGAGAAGGAAAACTCTTATTTCGTGAGCTTGAAGATTACTGATTTCATCTCTAAGAGCTGACAGGTTCTTGCGCAGGATTATTTTTTAGATTTCCCAAACAATTTTTTTCTACATAGTGACCCATCCATTGCAGTCACCTGCACTACTGTATCAGCTAGAGATGGCATCAGCAGTACTGGGAATTCCAACAGCATCAGTGGTGGGATTCAAGGGGACTCATGATAGGAATCCAAACAAATCATGACACAACTGCAGAGAACTTGCAGAAAAGCAGAGGGTTGCTGTCATACTCATTTCTCACACAAGAAGGGGATTCACCCACCTGGTAAATTGCCGACTTTCCTCATGTACTTCCATTTCTGTGCTTTTAAATTCATTCAGTTCTTTCCGTATTGCTGCCTAATAAACAATAATATATGCAACCATAAGAAATATGAATTTTCAGGAAAATAAAGAGTCTGAAAGAAACGTGGCCCTACTATTGCAGGTACTTTACAGTTCCCATTTTTATTTTCCCTTATTGTAATCCACAGCACTTACACATTTCTGATCATCAACAGGAATGACTTTTCAATTACAGCTGTTCAAAGTACTCATCCACTACAAAGAAACTAAAAGCATTCAGCACCGATAGTAAACCAAGAAACACCAAATCAACTGCAATGGGTGAACCAAGCCCACACTGAAACAGAGCACTCCTACTGACAAAAATGGGCAAGGGGTTGGATTGCCCTGACAAACACTTGCTGAGTAGGCAGACAGGAGGTGATTCTATCTCCAGGCACAGCCCTGAGGAGCTGGTGAGTCACTCTGCCAGCACAGGCACTATGTGCACAGCAGGGTCCTTATATTTCCCCTCTGGAGACAGGACTTCAGAAATGCAAGATGAACAGCTTTTTTTTTTTTTTTTTTTTTTTTTTTTTTTTTCTTAAGTGGAATTAGTCACTAGGTTTGATTAGTTTTATGTAAAATGACATTAATTATTTGGGTCTTTCAGGCTTGGGTTTTCAGTTGGCATATACTAAAGAACAGCAGAAATTCAGTACAGTTTGTAAATGCCTTGTTGCTTATGTTAAGAGACTGATAGGCAATGTACTTCATCAAGTAATAAATACAGTTTCTGAAATATTCTAATATATACTATAAGGAGGTTTATTTCTATGCCACACACCTTCCTACCTTCACTGTTAAAGGAAATGACAGTTTATTCTTACTGATTCTTTTCTTTCACCACTTTAAATAAAGACAGTACCATTTCATTAATCCCTAAAGAAATGTCATCTAGTGTGCATACCTCTCAGTGCAGAGCAGACAAGCAGTGTGATAAAATTATAGCATCACCAGGCTGTAGTCTTATAAATGTGAAAATTCGTTTTAAGCAGGGGTGGTTGTGTTTAGCCACAACAGCATGCTTACATGAGGCTGCTGTAGAGCTAGTAAAGAGACAGTGATTTCTGAGCATGAACTCAGCAGCAAAGACAGCAGAGCTCCAGCTCTGTAATAAAGCTGCAGCAGAATTTTCTGCTCCTACTGGAATAAGAAGAACTATTTCTCTGGGAAGAAAAAAAAAAAAAAGGACAAGGGAGTTTCCAGGAAAAAAAGTAGGTAGGAAACTCCATTGGTTTTTTTCTAGTGCAGTTTACCCTGGTTAGACCTCTGTCAAAGTGGAGGTGCTGGGTCCTCTAACCTCCCACATACTCTGGGAGGACTAGATAGCGCTCAACATCTCCCATAACCAATATCTACAAATGCTTCTGACTACATTTTTGACTATTTCACCTTGACCTGATACAACTGTCAGATGAGCTGGCAATTTTTTAATATTAATATTACAATAAATAAGCTGGAATAAAATCAGTGCTTCATTACCCTTAGCTAAAATAGAGTAGCTTCTTGCACACACCACTTTTCAAGACAAACACATCTCACAGGAGTTCCATAAAGTCCATAGGTCTTTAAGAGTGCTTTAAGAGCTAGTACTTCGGGCTACCTGAATCTTACAGCTCTCCCTTCATTAAGTAGTATAGGAGGGAAATAGAAGAATACTTTATGGTAATCTTTGACTAATATTTTTTTTAAATGACAATCACAGGGTCATTTGTCTCATCCTTTGTACTCAGGGCTATATTAACTGTAGGATGTTAGGGGCAAATTTCCCAAGAACCTGTGCTGCATGCACATGGTCAGTTCCCACACTGGTGGTTATGGCCAAGAACCTGAAGGAGGATGGAGCAGCTTCTACCTTTTTTTCACTCAAATGAGTGGCAAAAGCAACTCCTGGTAGCAGTGACACAGACTTTTGCCTTCAAACCCCTGCCTGAATTCCCACAGATCATGGCCACCTTTGGTAAACTTGTATCTGTCTTAGCAAGGATTTAACAATTAGAAAAAAAAATTAGAAATTCTGGCCTAAACTGTCATAATGGAGGTAGAAAATATGCTCATAGTAGGCACCTGAGTGGGTTTTCTTAGCTGCAGGCAGTAGGTGCACAGTTGCACCATGACAATCTTGCTGTCACCAGCAGATGTCATTTGTGATGCTGGCATCAAGAGAATGTAAACCAGAGAAAAGTTCCCCAAAAGTGACAGATGAAAGCATTTTCTTATAATCTACATTTGTGCCTTGCCTTGTCTGCAGGAGTTAACCTGGCCCAAGGCTTGTCAGCACGACGGTCGTAATCCGGAGATTCCGTAACCTCCACGTACTCGTTAAATCGAAGGATTCTTCTCGCTTGAAGTTCAGCCACTGTAGGCCTCAGACTGAGCTGTAAGCGGGAGGCAGAAAATAGTATGCTTAATAAGATGAAATAAAATAAAAGAGGAGGGTATGATGTAATCTCAAGAGAACTTTAATGGTATTTCTAAATAGGGTCACTTTCAGGTGTCTAAAAAAAGACACCATAATGGGAGCGCTGTGCAGGAATGGGGAGGCAGCCTAACCTGATTTCTTCAATTATAAAAATAGTCTTTGTCGGGCAGGTCACAGAGAATCATGACAGTTATCCCTGGAATGTTAATTGTGACTTTGCAACTGGCACTACCCCACTAGGCCATCTGCATTAACGGTTATACTGTGTTAAAACTGTAATACCAAAAATACATGACATTTGGAAGTATCTGCCTAACAAAAAAAATTGGTTTTGACCATCTAGGGGTCATTATAATGTCAAATTGTTTTAGTCACCTCAAACAATATTCACTTTCATTAACTAAGGATGATCATATTAAGGAAACTGTATTTTTGCAGAGACAGGCAGACCAAGGATACTTATGAAAACTCCTCCCATCCTCTCCCAAAAGAAATCTGTAACTGCTCCATTTCCAGGGACAATGAGCATGATCCCACCTGCAGAAGCTAAGACCACTAATGTGGTTAGAAAAGCACTGAAGGGATTTCATTGGGGTGACATTGTTTTGCTGCCCTCTCCACTGCTCTAGGGAAGAGTGGATCTACAGGTGTAGCTGCTCTTGATCATATGTGACAGGGGTGGTCATGCTATAGAGGAAAACTGTCACTTAAGCTCCCTGCTTAGAAACACCAATATGGCCAGACTCAGTATGCTTCTCCAGGTGTGGGGAACTGGACAGGATGGAGCTGCCCCCAACATGGACTTTGCTTGTACTGCTTTTTAAGCAGATTTCTAATCTGGGAACATAACTGATGGACATTTGCAGCAATGTCTATACACTGATTTTTAGATTCTTATGGAACATAATTCTATGTACAAAAATACACAATACAAAAAAGCACATCATCACCTTTCTACTGAGTCTACGTTTTATTTCTCTTTTGGCTTCCTGTTCCTCTTCTTCATTCTTCTCTGTTTTCAGAAGAGATAAAAAGGAGTGAATATTTAAGTATTATAACTGCACATACTGTATTCTCTTGGTTGAAAGCTTCAGAACTCCAAGTCCTGGCTCATGTTTCCTCTTATTTCTGGATGATGCCGCATGTGTTGTCTGCTTTTTGGTTTTTGTATGCTCTCATTCTTTTCCCTATCCGCATTTCCCCTGATTCTGTAGACATCTCAAGTCAACTGTGGGTCACGAGCACAGCAAAGAGAAGGTGCCTGTCATTTCTTTTCTGTGTACCAGCAAACAAGTACCCTGAAATAGTTGCCTGATGTTTCAGTTACTTATTTTAACATTCCAACATTGTTGCTTTTACTTCTAAAACATTGATTTTAGAACAAGAGTCTAATTTATAAATGCCAAGTGAAAATTTTGCTCTGAGTATTTGAATTACTCAAGTTTCTCCTACTGTTACAGGACATGAATCAATGACATTTGTTTCACTGTCATTTGATAGTAAATTTGTTCTATTATATAATTTTTTTTCTGGTTTTATAATGGAGGCATATGATCCAACACTCAAGCCCTCTTGGTTAAGGGCCACTGGCTGGACCAAATGAACCAGTACAGCAGAAAATTATGTCCATTTTTAGAATGCATTTGGGCATATGAATGAAACAATTTCCTTTTAACAAATTTATGTTCTAACTAAACTTGATTTCTCAACTGCCAGTGAAAAGTACACTTAGAAAGACATGTTCATGTAGGCTCAGCATATTTTTAAATTGATGTATGGTTTGAAGGACGGTATTTGCCCTTTCAGTCCAACTCTGATGGTTATATGCAAAGTTTTGTGGCTGAAATATCCCACCTAGAGAAATACATAGAGTTCTGATCCTATTTTATTAATGGTTGGGGATTACAGACTCTGCATTACAGTTCAAGGCTAACTATAAATTTAAATAAATTCATTTGTTCTGGATGCAGCCAATTTATATAGATGAAAAGGGAGTTTTAAATCCTGGTTTAGTTGTATTTGCTCTGTCTCCCATGGCCAGCCTGCTGTTTTAGTAGAGGTGACCTGGCCTAAGGAGAATTTCTATACAATGACTTTTACACTGGAGAAAATGCGCTACGACAGGACACCTCATGGTACTTGCAGATATCCTTTGCTTACTCAAATGCTTTCATATAGGAAGAGAATATCAGGGAAAGGAGGAGAGGACAAATTATAAAAATGAAAAAGTAAGGGAAAAAGTAGGAAAAAGGCAATGCTTGCCTAAGATCTCCTCTGTGAGAAGACTCCAACACCAACATCAGGTTTCCAAGAGCAAGGTGCAATTGCACAGGCTTGCTGCCAGGATTAGGTTGGATTTCAGGTTGATAGTGATGTTACTGAGATACTGGAATATGAATGTTATTTATGGTTTATTAATTGCTTTTCTCTTAAATGGAAAAGAAATGGATAGCCTGTTTCTGCAGAGGAACTGTAAATGGATTCAAACTGAAGAATAACTATAACTGGGGAGTTATAGATTAATCTACATTTAAATTTTTTAATTAATGTATCTATCAATAAATAAGTTGGGTATATTTAAGGACTTATAACTTACTTACTTAAGTATAACTTACTTCATAATCTCCTCACCTGAAAAAGTCAAATGGTCTCTTTTAGGACAGATAAATCACCTATATACTTTTGTCTAAACAGTCTGTCTTTGCAATTAATAGACACAAGAGCTGACGTAATTAAACACAAACTATTACTTTGGGGTTCCATTTACTTGAGAATCATGTAATATAAAAAATTTTGTCCCCTCATGAATGGAATTGCTTAAGTCCTACCTCAGACAATCTCCCATAGCAGACATAGCAGGAAAAAAGGCAGCTGAATGTACACATCACTGTACTGTCCTTTTCTTACTTTAGTTTGTAAAGTATGCTGTGCATAATTCATATCTTGGCGTTTCTTTGCTATCTAAACCACAGTGTCTCCTAAGAAGCAGCAATAAGATACTTCATGTAAGAAACAGGGGCTCATGCTGCTTAATGCATACCTTAAGGAAGAACTACCAACAGCATGACCACCTGAAATACTGTTTCTCTGTACTTTGGAGGAAGATAAAATACCTTAAAAAATTTGTTCCAGACATTTAGGAAGGTCAAAGGTCAGCTGCCTATCCTAAGCTGTGAAGCCACATCCCTGTGGAGAGCAGATGACCGCACAGCAGAATGGCTAGACAAGGGAAAACCTCTGAAAAAGGGCAAGCATCTTAGTGACTGGGCAGAGGAACCCCTTGGAGCAGGCCATCTTCTGGAGGATAATTCCAACAGGAGGCACCATGAGTTCCCTAAATTCTGGGAAAAGGAGGGGGGGATCAAACCCATGAGGAACTGACACTCTTCTGCTGAAAGGCTGGATTTTATACATTCAAGTTGGTTTACTTCTAGGAATAAAACTCAAGAGGTAAAGGAAATGGACTGAAATATTGTGGCTGCTAGTAATATACTGAATCTGCTGTTTGGCACATGGGACCCTGTCTCTGGCACTGACTTGTACCTAAAGGACCAATTTCCCACCTCTAGACTGCTGGGCAGATCTTGTTTTAAGCCTGGTGCTACAGAAATGCTGCCTGGATACAAATTCCTACAAACAGTGGAACTACACTGTGTTTTTGGTCTTTTAAGGTAAAAGTTTTGAAAGTTGCTATAGGGAGTTAAGAAGATGTGTGGTGCTAAAAATAATAGGTCTGGTGCTCCTGGTTCCTGTAGGTGTTGTGGAAAATTCCAGCCAGAGGGCCAAGATTTGGCTGCAGGTATGAAGTGACTCATTGGCCAAACAGGAACACATTAATGCACAGGAACACACTTATCACAGCTTTCCACCTTAAAAGCAGATCTAATCTGTGTGATGTGGAGAGAGAAAATATAAACACAGCATTCTCAGCTGCAAGTCCCCTCCCCAGATGTCCTGCTGCTGCCCTACTGGCGAAGAACCAGCCCAGTAAACACCCTTTACTTGCAGAAGTCTCTGATTAGATCCCAGCAAAACTATGGCTTCATTCCTTCCCTGCCTGCAATTCCTAGGAGGTCAAACTGGGATTTGACTCCTAATTGAAATAATTTTGTTTAGCATCAGTTATTGTGGCCATCAAGTTAAATAATTCACCAGTCAAAGCCAAACAAGCAGCTTCCCTGTCATCTATACATTATTGCTCTTGCAACTTTTACCACATTAAATCTGGTCACCTTCTGTTCTGTGGGACATTTGCTTTGTAGCAGAAGGGGAGAAGAAAAGAGACAAATTGTCCTGCCTGAGGACTGCTCCATTCTTGACCAAAAAGTACTCTTGGAGCATAAAACTGAACTTTCCATTGTGTCCCTATGGGATTAGCTATGTTTAGACTTCTCTGTGGGCTTGCTAAGGAAAGAGAAAGAGAAGCCAAACAAAGCACTTGCTTCTTGCAGTGCATTTGCTCTCAAATGCACGAAGCTGTTTCTCTCTCCTGGTTTTACAAGTAAAGATAATGATTAATATTCCTTAACAAGTATTGAGAGTTAAACTCCATTTTTTACAAAGCCATTACTGGCAGGCATGCAGGTGCACTGTACAAGAAATTCGCTGTCCTTTACAAATACAGGAAAAAAAATACAGTTATGTTAATCTGAAATTCTTGGAAGACTAAAAAGTTTCTTTGCCATAATGCAATACTATAAATACTGTTGGTTCAAAGACAGTGTACAAGAAGCCTGCCTTTATAAAAAACACAGGGCTTTATGTATTCCTTCAAGTGGACTCTTGAGTTGTCGTAACTTTGTTTTAGTGTGGGAAGTCTCAGAAGCCTGGATAGTTTTTTCCAAACAGTTTTTATACAAATCTGCCTGCAATGTCTTGCGACTGTACTTGGAAACAGGATTTTCAGTAACTGGTTTATCTGGAAATATTATCAAAACAAAGCTTCTTGCAAAACAGAGTTGCTCACTAACTGGAAATACAAAAAAAGAAAAAAAGTAGGGATTTTTTTTCTGAACCTCTTAGAAGATTTGGGCTGAACTTTATCCTGAATTAAACATTTGGACCTTTACCACTCAATGTAACCTCAAGTCTGATAAATATTACTCAAAACAATACATCCCCTTAGCTGCAGTTTACATACCCACAATAATATAACTATTTCTCCCCATCTACTGCTTAAAAAAAATGAGGAAGGAAACTTTATGAAAGAAATCTCAACTTACTCACAAAAGCTCACTACACCAACAAAGGCATTTAAGATGTGTAAACATTTTCAAATGATCCGCAGGAAGGAATGGCAATAATTTTGATGCAAAATATAAGTGGCTTAGAGAGAAGTTGCACCCTGAAAGGACTCTGAGTCAGACTCTCATCACAAACCCTGTCTTGCTTTTGGTTTGCTTTGGTTTTAATAGATCACTTTCAACTTGAAATATTTTATATCTCAGTGATGAGCAAAAAGCAGTTCCTCCACGTGCTCACAAGAGTCTCTGGGATTTTTTTGTGATTTACAGTTCTGCTTCCCAGCCTTTATTTTTTGCTTTCCCTGGCCTCTTTAAGACACCCCCCCAGCAGCAGCAGGGGAGGATGGCAGGAGGCACTGAGTGCAAAGCCTGGTGCACTGCCAAAAACTTAAAGTAAACAAGCTGAAACAGGAGAGGAAATCTATGAACTGCTTTCCAGTCTTGATCTACTTATTGCAAAAGCAGTGAATGGAATAAACACTGGCAAAAGGGGATATTAAATACATCACAGGTTCACTGCTGGGTTGGTTACTTCAAGATAAGCAAGAAAGGGCAAGAAGGGAGCCCAGCTGGTGCTCCCAGCTCAGTGGCCATATCCTGGCCCACCAAAGATGTTTTGGATTTACCTTTCTCACACAGTCCAGCATAAGCAGTTTGTCATATATATAAAAAAAAGTTCTTATTTCCAATTTTATTTTTATTTATCTACGACATTTATAGGTTTGGAAATTACAGTTTTAGAAAGTCTATTCACATTATGTGCCAGACAGGAGTCCCCTGATCCCTGTCCTGTGCAAGCATGAACTGTAGCTTCCTTTTTCAGTAAGACATGACACTATTTGGCATTTGAAAGCTCAAACAACACCAGTAAGATTTTATTAGCATTTTATTATCAGGATGGTTTGCCTGGAAGCCAATAATTGCCCTCTCCCTGATTTGCTAGCCTGAGCAAGTGACAGAGTCATCAGTCCATGGATGCTGTCAGGTAAACATCCTGTTTTCCTCTCTCTCCTTCCCATTAACGTGCTACACATCAGGGCTGAGAACAGGGTTGCACAGATGAAGTACAACTTTACTGAACAATTGCTGGAAATAACAGCATCATACCAACTCTCTGATCAGGTGTGAGAAGTTCTCATGCCTTAAGAGGTTTTTTGTTTGCTATTTGTGTGATTTTTGAGTTATTGCTATAAAGCGTCTTTTCTTCATTTATTTCTTCTAAACCATCAAGTACTAGCCACTTCTGCAAGATGAACACAGGACTAGGTGGAGCTGGGCATGGCAACTGTTGCACTTTGTGTTTAGGTAACATCTTTATTTTGGAAAGACTCATAAAGGAAGACAAAACAATGCTTGTTCTGAAGAGTTTGTGAGCCAAAGAACAGAAGCAACACAAATAAATGGCAGAATAGGTATAAAGGGTAAACATCTAATGTACTTCCTCTACCCCTGACTATTTGAATTACAGAATTTTTTTTAAGCAGAGATATGAGGTAGGATTTAATCAATGGGAGGATACTTAGTGAGAATCTCATGCAGGTTTCAGTACAGAAGACATTTATGTCAGAAGTGAATGGGAAGGCCAGCATGCTGAAGTAGTTGGCATATAGCTATTGACTTTCTGCTGAACACTTTGCCTTTCCTCTTTCTACTCCTCCTTCCAACCTCTGCCCTTCCATTCCACCTCCAAATGATACTCCTTTCTCCTCCTCCTCATGAGAAACAGGTGGAAGGTTAACCAGCCTAGAACTATTTCTGAAGGGTATCCAAGTCATTCCTGATCTTTGGGACCAGCTTCAAGAAGTGCGATTGTGACAAGTAAAATTTGGCATATTCAATAAATGGAATTTTCAAAGCTACAATTACAGCTTAGTGTATAAATCAAGTGATGACACATTATTTTCTAGAACATCATTTCCCTCTAGTTATGGTTCTAATACTAGAGCAACACTGATAGGCTTCCATATGAATCCAACACATGCTCCGTTTCTAAGCAAATACCATGTGAAACCTGAAAGAAATACTTACGCTTTAGGATATTTCTTTGCTCCAGCTCTTCAGTTGTGGGCCTCTGGCTAAGTCTCCTGTGAGAACAAAGAAAGTGACTGATTTAAAACTAGATCTAAATGACACATTAGGATTTGTAATACAGCTTAAAAAATGTAATTTCTGGAAGCCATTTCCAGGCAGTTACAATAACTGCCATTCGTTTTAAAAGATGTAGTGTTGCCATTTGAACACATGAGTAACTGATACTTGAAAAATATTACAGAATTTGTACCAGCAATTTTAAAGTCCTCACAGGTAGAATTTTATTAATAAATCCATATACCTTCTTTGTTCCCAAGCATCATCTCATAATTATAATCAATTGTGCAATTGTTAGATTATTCTCAGGTATTTTGAATAAATATTGCTATTTTTGATATTTTGAAGTCTTACTAAATTTTTTTTAAAAAAACAAAATCAACAAAACACATAAGCTGTTCATTCCTCATTACTTTGTATGTACAATACAACTGGGAGCTTTACCTGAAACCTAATTTTATTTAGTTACCTAAACATAACAACTGCCATTACAAAAACCTCAAACTGAGATATTCATTTTCTTATTTGTACTGGGAAGAACATGCTTGATGTTGTCTCTGTGTTTACTAAACAAGTCCACTTGTTCACTTGAGGAAAGAAGCCAGAAAAATTTCAGGAGTAAAACTTATTTTACAGGTGTGTTCAAGATAAGTATTTCTTTGTTCATCAACACTCACACAGTTCACTACAAACTGTGACAGTACAAGTCTTGTGAAACTCATCCAATTCAAATCACTCTTGGACTTACAGATTTCTCCCAGAGGACTGGCAGGTTTACCATAAGTGACCAGTATCAGCTGTAGGAAGTCCCAGGTGGGAACCCAACTCAACCCTGACTGAGCTGTGGGAACAGATTTTCCACCAGACCTCGATGCTGCTGGTGCTTTTATGAAACTGGCATCAAACTTGGGTGTGATTTTGGGTATGAGCACAGCCCTGATGTATGCAGGTAGTCTCCTGCCACCAAAGCAGAGCTGTGTGCATTGCTTTCAGCTCTCCAGCAGAACCCACAAAGTAGCTTCTGTAGTTTCAGCCCCCAAGGGAGGACTGACGAGCAGGATGTGATCACCAGAGCTGGGATTTGTTCAGGAAAGCAATGATAACAGACATGCCTCTTTATTAGCAGAAGAAAAATGACCCTTGGGCTCTGCACAGTAGATGTCTCACTCTTACAGTTCAGTAATGAAATAGCTGCCTTGGCCAGACACACAATTCACAGAGCAAGTCAGCTTTTCTGGGTGTTGATGCAGAGCTGTGTACTCTGTACTGGAGCAGTACTGACAGGACCACCCTGTATCTAGGAATCTCCAAAAAACACAGGACATCCTCCAAATCTGAACAACGTTCCTGAGCCAAACAGGAACATGGACAGGTCTAGCAAAATACAGGCATGCTGTAGTTTATTCTCAGAGACCACAAGAGCCTAAATAAATGTGAAGATTTCTTTTTAAAAAAACTGTAAAAGGCAACTGAATATTTTAATACAATGTTCTCAAGTCCAGAAGAAGAAAGTAACATACATCCCATAGCAGTTTTAACAGCTTGAGAAAGACATGCCTCAGAGGCGGGTACAGTAAAACACAAACACTGATCGGCTCAACTTCTTTTGCTGGGATCAGTATATGATAATGAAGGACTTGGAGAGCCAGGGGAAAAGGAGAAGGTTCAGAAGGGACAACATGCATACGCATATTCTGTGGGTCAGAAACTAGTGCTCTGAGATGGTTATACAAGTGGAAGTTCTGCTAAAAAAATTGAGAAAGAACCAGAACTATGGCATTGATTATTATGGACTCATTCTTACCCTCTTCCTCTTCTTTTTTTAACCAAAGTACCCAAAACCCCAAAAGCTCTCAGATTTTGTTTCTTGCAGGACAAAAAAATCTATTATTGAGAGTTTAAAGTTTTGTGAGAAATAAGAACACCATTTTACAGACAGTTGTACCACAAAAATCCTTCAGCTCACATTGGGCTGCATTTAAAACATGAACCGAGTGTTCTCAATTCTCTTCCTCCACCTCCACCCAGTGAAACCACATTGACCCTGCAGCTGATACCTCACAAGCTTTGTTCCAATCTGATGTCTGATTTCCTGCCTCTCCTCTTCGGATGTACGCTGCAAGATGTTTTTGTCTTCTAACTCTTTCTTAGATGGTCTGTTGCCAAGTTTGATAGCAAGAGTATCCCTACGACGAATTTTACTTGCCAAAGAGCCTGAGGAAAGGAGGAGCAGGGTAGATTTAGTTCATTCATGCTCAGGTTACAGACACAAACTCCTAGTAAGAACTTTAATACTTCCCCAAAGCAACCTTGTTCCCACATGCAGGAGAGGAATTTTAATTAACATCAAAAGAAAAATTTTAGCTCAGTTCATGAAAATAAAAAGCTAAAAGGCTTGGAGGGAAAAGCTACGAGCCAAATTGATACAAACATCACTTGTCATCTGTGAAGTGATAGGATAAAAATGAGAAATCTATACTAAAATGTCTTTGAAGTCTAATACATTACAGGTTGGCTTATTTATCTACTTAGTATATTTAGCAACCTGCTGCCCTTTTTCTTCAGCCTTAAATGGCTTAGTCTCATTCTGTCATAATTTCTCTCATCCTTTCAGCTTTTTTTTCAATCAATTACCACTTAGTTATTTTATAGTGCTTTCCATCTCTAAGTTATTTGTAAACTAAACTAAAAAATACAGCTTAGAAAAGTGCTCTGAGTGCCTGTAAAGTAACCTAGGAAGCAACCCCCAGGCACTGAAGCAATCTGTTCTCCATAAAACTGACACTGTAGGGACAAGAGCTCTGCAGCTCGGCCAGCATTAGCTTCAGCCAGCTGTGGAAGGAAGGGCATTTTTCACAGCCTTTATGGTATTCCCTTGTTTCTTGACATTCTGACTGAGGTGGGCTACATATGCCTTAGGTTGGCAGATTTTCACTGTGTCAGGCAGTTTGGTAAGACCATAGGCTTCCAGCTCACTTTTCATAAAACACTGTGCTTCTGTGTGAACACAAGAACTTTTGGTTTCTATCATTTTGGGTTGTATTCAAACCCAACAAAGAACTGCAGAAGACTTCAGCCTCTTGAGCTACCTAGCACTTCACCTTCTCCTGCAGCAGTGGCCAAGGAAAAAAAATAAACCAAAAAACATGTTCATTTTGCCTCATGCTACTTTGGTACACTGGACCTTGGCATTCAAACCTTTGTTGAGCACAGCGAAACACCTCCAAAGAAACAGTGTGCAAGGCTCTCAAGCAATGGTTTGATGGTTATTTTATACTGATGTAAGGCCACCCTGGAGGAGGTAGAGGGGGGGCTGCCCTCCTTCATGCTCCTGACAGTCTGTTGCTGACACCTTCTTTGCCCAAGCAAAGGAGAAGCCTTTGGGTGAGCTGGATCAGAGAACTACCAATGCTGTTGAAAATCAGCTCCACAACAGCTGCTCCTACAAAAATAAACATGAACTCTAGCCTAAGGAAAAACAGCTTAGAGCAGGGATGCAGAATGGGGGCAGGACAACTCCTTCAGCACAGCAGGGCTTCTGCCCACTTAAGGTAATGATAGAGTTATGACCCCAGATGAAATTTCAAAGCTGTAAAACTTAGATGTAATCTACTGTAGTCTGCTCTGTCTGCTATGGTTGGTCCAATGCTTTAAAAATCCTGATCAAATAGGAAGAAGTGGCTTTCAGACAGTGAAGCTGCTGACTGATGGGCCTTCTCTGTCATCCACCACACCTGTAACTCCCACAAGGAACTGATGATGCGGGCAAGCCAAATGAATGGCTTGTGATGCCCCAAGGTCTCCACCTTGTCCCACCCTCATGTCCTCCTGAGCCTGTTCCTCCCACCTCCGCTCTCCTCCATGCAATGATTGATCTTCTCTCACCCATGCACAGGTTTCTGATTGTGATTGCCTGGGAGAAGAAGGACACTCATTTCTCAGTAGTGACAAAATACTAAATTCCCTAAAAGCACTCTCTACAGCCATTCCTCTCTCTGCCTAACACCAGCATGGGTCAGGCGTGCTGACAAAACGCGATCTGCGAAGGGCAGCCTGCAGCTTTCCCGGCAGCGTGCTTACTTTCAGTACTTGCATTCTCATCATCATCATCATCGTCATCATCTGTGTACAGGATCGGCCCGTCGGAGTCCGAGTCACTGCCATGGCTCTCTCTGCTGCTTTCACTCTCAGGAGGGGCAGCAGCATCAGAAGCCTCCTCCACTAGTTCAGAGAATGCTTGATCCGGAGCCTCCCCTTCCTGGTCTTCTTTGGTAGCCAAGCTGTTTATTCATGAGCAGATAGGGTGACACATTAATGTAAGCAGAACAAAACACAAATGAGAAGCAATTGAATAAGCAAGGATGAAAATAAAAGTTCTGTTAATCAAAGTAATTACTTTCTAAAAAACATACATATATAAGACATTTTAAACATATGCAGATATGTATGTATTTGTGTTAGGAAAAAGGATGCAAACAATCCTGAATGATGTGCTGTAAAGATTGCATTAAGACAAATCCTAATAATTTTTGTTTGTTTTTTGTTTGTTTTTTGTTTGTTTGGTTGGTTTTTTCCTTTTTTTGTTTTGTTTTTTGGTGGGGTGGGACCAAGAGAGAAAACGATTCACAAATCTGGGGGTGAGAGGAGCAAGCTGGAGAACAGATGGGAGTGCAAAGTTTTCTGTTCTGGAAACCTAACCCTATTCACTGTAAATACAGTCTCACTGCAGTTGAGTTCAAAATGTTCATGCTCATCACTGACAAACCTGGGGTCAACAGCAGATTGCCCTTAGCCTTAGGAAATTTTTTATGTAAAGGAAGGGTAGAGCAGGGGGAGATGTACCACTAGAATGTAGAGCTGGCAACAGATGTACCAGCAAGAATTTAAAGGAAGGTCTCTAGGCTACTGACATCTAGACTAAACCCTCTTGGATTCATATAAAATATGCTGATTTTTGTGGCAGAGAAAAGACAAATTTATAAGCCAGTTTAATCTTTCTGCTAACTATTTTGCCTAAAAAATGTAATTATTACTTTTCTCTTGACCAGTTTTTACAGTACCTGAGATTCAGACAAGTCAATAGGCAGTAAAAAACCAAACACCTACTAACTGAAGCCTGAAAAAGCCCTCATTTTCAAGTGTTCAAGTAAATTCAGCTGGAACTGAAATTGAGAACTTTATTTATTGAATTGAGAACTTTAACAGTGAGATATTTAATGATAGCTACAGGAAATAAAGACATCTACCGTAAAGAACCCCATTATAATTCAGCATCATTTCTTGTTTTCCTTTATGAGAGATAAATAAAAGTGTCATCAGCTTTGAGCTGGACTGCTGACCCGAGTGCCAGCCACACAATGAAGTAAGAGACAGGTCATGATCAATGACCCTCTGGGGACACATGAGGTACTGCAGGTGACAGGCTCTGGGAAGGAATAAACTGTGCTGGGCTGCCACACAAACTGTTCCCAGTCAGCAGAAGGGCCAGAAGAGATCCCCACGTGCCTACAGTGCAAGCAAATGTGGTCCTACCACTCCCCCAGGACAGCTGTACTGTCTCACCTTTCCGTGGCTTCTCCTCCGGCATCTGGAGCGCTGCCTAGGGCTCCGCTGCTCGGACTCTGGTCTGCACCACGCTCAGCTGGGAGAAGAGGCTTTGTGTCTGACCCAGGGCTGCATGGCCCTGCCACGCAGCTGTCTGACACATCCTGGGCATCTGAGGAGCCAGCAGGCTGACTAGCTGCAGCGGGAAAAGGAGGTGGAAGTGGAGGTGGAGGAGGGGCAGCGCTGGGAGGAGGGGGCACGACAAGCTTGCTGGACTGGTCTGCATTCTCCATTTCAAAAATTACTATGGAAGTTTGCTCAGGCTTGGGTTTTTCTGCCTTCGCTTCCAAACTGTCGGCTGTCGCACCTGAGGGGGAAGAAGTAGCCCCGTCTGGTGCTGTTCGTGGGGCTGACTGCTTCCCAGGTTTTTTCTTGCCCCTGGGAGTCCCTGATGTGCCAGATTTGCTGGAAGTCTCCTTAGAGGCTTTGGGATGAGATGATGTAGATGAAGGAGATGGTGATGAAGAAGACTTGGAGACTGGTGGTTTCTTTGCATGAGAGGAACTGGCTAAAACAAGAAAATAAAAGGCATTTTACAGTCTTGCAATTATGATTTTTACACTGTATTTTCTGCATGAATTCATTTGTGCTGGTCTTCAAAAAAAAAAAAACAACAACATAATTCTTCTACAGTACTTCATGTAAATACTTGAGATTAATAAATGTTGCAGTTCCAATTTCACCTTTGTGTGGGAGACACTGAAAGGATGAATACTTGCCCAAGAACAGCAGAGAGGACCAACCTTACAAATGGGTAGGAGTTTGTTTTGAGCAGCCTGGACATCATCTAAGAAGTCCACTACTTATTCTAAAAATAAGTGTAGTGACTTAGCTTAAAAAAAAAAAAAAAAAAGGTCCCTGGCAGAGAAAATTGCCTGACCTTTTGTACTATGTGAATTTTTGGTCTGATCACTGTGAAAACCCTGTGATTTTCCTTATACTTTTCAATGAACATCTGAGGACTGTTACTGAGTATCAGTCAATTAGCTTTCACAATGTTACTGCAATTGATGTCCTCCTATGTAATGACAAACAGCAGAGGGGCAGCAAAACAAGGCGTACTTTCAAGTCCAGCTGGGTCTGTCCACAAAAGAGAGACAGAAACCACTGCTGTCACACTGCTCAAATGACCTTCAGAAGGGAGGAAGCACTGAAGGACTCTTCCAATTGCTGTGTCAATGCACCTATCACCGAGATGGGAGCTTCAAACTTCTGACTTCCATGTAAAAAGTAATAAAAATGACAAACATCTAATGATTCAGTCCTTTTCATCAAAATGCATCCGACTCATATACTTTTGATATAATTCTAAAAATTCATTAACTTCCAGAGAACAAATGAAAGATTATAAAATTACATAGCAGCCTTCTGGCTAAGCTTACTTGAGTAAAACAGAAAGCTGTAACAGAAATCTGCTGAAAGGACTACTTTACTTATAAGCATTTAAATAAAAAACAACCCCTTGGCAGACTGGGAGAGAATCAAAGTGCAGATACTGGCCATAATAAGCTCCCTATATAAAAACAGTTTTCACAGTGAGACTGTTCTCAGAGGAGATGGAAACTAATTCAAAAGACACTTTGCTGTTCTCTTCTGTAGCTGTTACGGTTTAAAAACATTTATAGAGCTGTGAAGATTTATGTATATCTGAAAAAATTTATAGAAATTTCAGGCAAATCCCTGCTCCTCTTTGTGCTCCCAGGTGACTGTAACGGGCACTGTCCTGCATCAACCGATACTGCACTTATCTTCCCACATCAGGTACAAATCACTCAATTTACATGCAAAACAGAATGAAGCAGAAAAATGGCATTGGCAGAAGTTCATAATTACAGTAGAAATAGATGGTGGTTCCAAGCTGCATATTATTTAACAGAAATCTTACTGTGTAGGTGGATGGTAGAAAGAAAAGGCTCTGGTTCTGATCCCCTTCAGTGCAGGCTGGAGGTCAACAGAACCAGTTACATGCTTGCACTTAAGAACTGCAGCATAGTAAAAATATATGGCCACACAGTTGTGGCTGGGAAAATGTCAAAACATGTTTCCACAGTAAAAATCCTTACATTATTCTCAGAACCTGAAATTAGATACGGAAACTTAAAAGATTTCTCCCACAGAAAACCCCTACGCGTCCACATGGGTCAAAAGTGCTACTGCTGTTTCGTTTTTGACTGGGCTGGCTGACAACTTTCTGTCATGCCTCTTTTTCAGTAGAAGATTTGAATTCTGATTAAATTAAAAATTTAATGGCTGTTGTTTGCCTTTTGGCATACATCCATGCCTACATTTAAGTCCCATTCTCCCAGTACGACTATTTCAGTATGGAAACCTGCTGTGCTGCCCTCAGGAGAGCCGTGGCTCAGTTGTTACTCATATTCCTGTCCTCCTTCATGAGACTTGATCACTGCCTGCATCATCTGTTCACTTTCATGGAGATCTGACAAAACACTTATACTAACACTGTTCCAAAACAGCTCTACTTACTAAGTACTACCCCACTTTGAATGAACACAATGTATTTTTAATGTTTGAAGAAATTACCAGTAGAATAAGGGATATACGTGGATATAATATGGTCTGAAAGCACTGGCTGACATTTCAGCAAGCCTAATAGAAGACAAATCTGGAACGTGAATGTATTTTAGTCTAAAAAGTCAGGTACCTGACAGGTTGTTACCAACCACTGGTATAAACAGTTCTTTTTGTGATGGATTGCTTTACTTCTGAAAGGTCTGCTGTTACAAGGCTGCTTCACCTAGGAAGAGCTAAGTTTTCCAGCTGCATGTGAAATACAAGGAGCAAATTCTGGATTTTCAAAATGTTTATTCTTGTAGTAGTCTGATGTAGTAGGGACAGTTAATACCAAGTTAATGGATATTTTATGGCAAAGTTATTATTGTAATTCTAGAAGTCTTGCAATGTTTTCTAACAGTCCTCTTCTGTATGCTTCAAATACAAAATGTGCCAAAATGTACAAGCTGTGAAGAGAAATACTTGCAGAGAAAACTGGAGGGACTGGAGGGCTTTGAAGACAGACAGAGATTGAAAACACACAGCTTGTATAAGTTTGCCAATACATATATGAAGCCCATTCATCACAATACTGCTTGTGTTCAAATTATGTGTGGATGTTTTGGTTTTGATCATTGTCTACACTGCAACCATCCAAACTCATAATCAGTAACTTAAGAGCATCCACGCATCCATATAATCTTTAATCTTGCATCACTGCTGAATTTTGATGTAACAGTGTGGTGATAAATACATGTGCTATGTGCCTGATGATTGATATTTTGCATTTCCAGTATGTACTTAAAATCACAGCACCTGAGAGAAGCCTGGTCATTTCTAATGGTTGTAATTTTTTTTTGTCAGCTAAACCAACAGCTATTCAACAGTCTTTTAAGATGTCTTCATGGTTTTATTCTTAAAGTCTTTGTGACCTTGTAATATTGTCAAATTAACTGGAATTGTTGATACTTCCAGTTGAAAGTTACAGCAATACCAAATTAATTTTACTTAGGGGTAACTTGTCCTTGATTTCAGAAGTCAGTTTCTTCCCTGCTTATTCTTGAGCTGGTTCTCTGGGTAATTTTTTTGCCAGCTTTCACACTTGAACTAGGAATTCAGGGTTGTCTCTGATGTGCTCGGTGTTGTACATAGGTTCACTCAACAGCGAGGAGGTCTGTGTGTTGTCTGGGGTATTTGTGGCCAGCAGAACCAGAGCCCAGCAAGAAGCTCTCTACAAACACCCATGGCATGCTCCTCAGTAACTCTGCTATGTCTGAAGGCACAAGGCACTGTAAGACCAAGCCAAGCAGCCCCATGCACATGCACCCACGTAACTGCACTGCACGGGCAGTACTCACCAGCTTCTCGATTTGCACTGGCGCCTGTTGGCTTGGGCGGCAGGAGAGGAGGCTGCTTAGCAGGAGCCTTTCCCTTTTTTTTAGCATGAGGTGCTTCGTTACCCTTATGGCTGCTGGTGGTGGAAGCGGCAATGGCATTTTTTGGTGGTAGCGGAGCTTTTTTAGGTTTAGGCTTAGGCTTAGGTAGTGGTGGAACATGGGATGTCGGTATTTCTGGGCAATGACCAGTGCTCTCTATGGATAAGAAAGTGAACAGAAGCCAACTGACACAGACATACACCATGTAAATTCAACAGCAAGCTTCACAACAGTGACTACTTCCGCTGCTTGAGCTCTTGGGAATCAGTATAGACTTCATCTTCTGCCTCTTAATGCAGTGTTACCTCAGAAGAAAATTACTGTTCACCTCAATTCAGGATCTTCTCCTGGAAAAAAATAACCTGGAACTTCTCTCAGACTCATCTCTTCTAGACCTCCAAGGATCAGCCTTTGCATTCAGTATCCCAAACTAGAGTGCTGGCTCCAAACTAAATGAGGGAATACTATTTACTTCTCTAACAAATCTCCTCAGCTTCTTTTCAGCTTTACCCACCAGGAGATCAACAAGCTGTAAAACTCAGATTAATGTGAACCTGAATGTGAACAGGGCCATTCTCCCAGCCACAGGCTTGCACATGGCTACACAGCAGAAATTTTCCCAGTTTTCTCCTGAACCAACTCATTCTTCTGAACTGCACACTGCTTGCTCTTAGCAGCTTTGTTTTGGGCAACTTCCTCGAGAGTATTTTTTACTCATCAGAAACAAATGAAGCTAAGTAAGATAGGTTATCATTTGGCATGGAAATGCTCTCCCCTCCTGCAGGTTCTTTGGGTACTGTTACACAACTGCACTTTCAAGAGTCTAGAGCTTATTAGACAGCAGGAATTTGGTCTTTATCTACATTGCGCTGTGCAATAGGAATGGCTCTGCAGAGTGAAAGAGGTAGCACTGAGAACCCAATATCCATAATCCGCATAATCTTTCAGGAGACTTTGGATTTTCTTCAGGCTAGTTCTCTAGATTGCATGACTAGTGGTGAAGGGAGTACAAGTTTCTGAGTGCATCTTTTGGCTTAGTTTCATCCAAAAAACCCTGGTTTGTTTGCAGCCTGCAAACCGAAGAAGGGTAAGTGGGGATGACCAGGAAATTAATTTCAAAAGGGTATGCCTAATGCCATCTGTAATGTTAATGTAGGTGAGTCATTTACAGTCAACATACAATTTTGCAACATAATCACTACAGCTGTAAAACTTGGTGTTCCCAGGTGGGAAGAGCTGGAGTTCCCAGATGGGAACCTTTATCTATTCAATTAAACCAATTCTATGCCCATTTTGTCTCAAGATAGCCTTCTCAAACCTTTCTAAAAAAAGGTATTATAGCAAGAGCATTCCATCAGAATCATATAGGCTTTGTTGGCATGTTACTGAAAACTGTGACTGAGGAAGAAAGGAGACAAGCAAATACTGCAAATACTTTTAACAGTCTCTTCTATCACTCATTTAGTTTCTTGCATTATGTTCCTATTAGAGCCTCATTCTTGACACACAATAAATGGACATTTTCATCTCTCTTCTTTCCCATGTTAAAGATTCCCAAGAGATAAGCAACACATTTTAAGATTAGTAGATGAAAAGGAAATAATGTGCTAGACAACAAAGACATTATTCCTCTCAGAAACAAAGCCTTTCCAACTTCTAGCTTAAGGCTTGTTAACGTGAACTTAATGCATCACCAGCAGTTATTAAAAGCAACATGCACACATGTCTTCATGAAGGAATGAAACGTCCAATGTCTTCTTCCTTTATTTCCAGCCTATTATATACTCATACCCATTTGCATATAATGGTTCTTTGAAAGAACCATTTCATAGAAACCTTTTACAACTTTCAAACAGATTTTTTGAGCACATATTGTTGCACCATCTCTTTGTTTTCCACAGAAAGACTTCAGATGGAGAAAGAAACATGCTTATTTGTTACATTTTGACCTTCTCTTTTATAGTCTCCTTGTGAAATTCTACCTACCTTCATTCAAAGTTGAAATGGTGATATAATTCTGAAAAAGCAGGACATTTTAAAATTTGAAGTCCATTAATAACAAACATGGCAAGAGAAGATATGATTTTGTATTTTGAAGATCCTGAAGGACATGATTATCAGAAATAATAAGTATAAACAATTCTTTCTTTTACTATAAGTATCAACTAAAGATCCATAAGGCTAAAAATTTTATTTACTAGTAAGAAAGAATTTTAAACTTGTTTACTTATATACCATTACTTTGTTTTGTTTCAGGTCATTAGTGGAGAAAATGTTAAAAAAGGAATGATAACCTAGAAAAAGTAATACAGTATTCACCATATTCTAAAATAATACAATCTACACTAAACTATGTAACTGATTAAATAATGTATATCAATTTATCTTCTGAATAAGGAAAAAAGGTACAAAATAAAATATAAGGCTAAAGTTTTATTTAGTTGCAAATAAACACATCCTAGTAACAACCTATAATTTTCAATTTTTCTTTAGACAAGTAACTAAAAATTATAAATGAAAACCAAAACTGTAGCAGTTCGTTCACATCAACATTCTTGCTTGCAGACTACAACTGCGATTAAAATTCCACTGGCAATTTATATAGCATTTATTTTACCAGAAATGCCTTGCCATTACTGAACACTATCTTTGTCTAACACAGTTCTTTTCATAGTGGTATGTACCTCATTCCAAAGACTGGCAGACTCCTGCACAGCTGCATCCTACTTGCTCAGATAGTTACACCTCTCATCCAGTCTTGACTGCCTCTTGATTACCAGCAAACCTTATTCTTACTCGCAGCCAGGAAGAATCTGTGGTGAAGGTTATTTCTTTGACCGTATTGTTCCTCCTGGCATCTTATTGGCTTTGTTGCCTTTACCTTTGTAAGTTTCATTTCTTATCTCATTGTCAGTCTGATTTTGCCCATGGTACAGTTTCCCATTTACTTGAGACAGATTTCCAGTCCCTACCTGACCAGTCCATTAGATCAGCTTTTGACAGCGACAAGCCAAGTTTGAAGCAGATACTTTTCATTGCTTTTCCTCTGCTGACCCTCAGGCTTTGTGACTGTCCTCCCTCAAACTCCCCTCTGCTGTGGTGCCAAAGATGACAATATTTAGACTGCCATGATTGTGCTTTTTTTTCCTGGTGTGGTGTCCTCTTGTTTTCCAGTGCCTAATCATAATATCCTTTCTTTTACTGCTAGTCTGTTGGAAAATTCTTGTGGTTTTCTGCATCTATGTAAGATGCTATAATAAATGTCTGGTACATACAGTAGTAATACAAATAACTAATAACTGCAAGAGGGGCCTGATCTTGAACAGTGACAGAGATGGTCTGATGTCTGTAAATCGCTACAGATGCAATTATGTTGTAATTGTACTTCCCTAACATGATTCTGCTTGGACATGGCCCCTTGGTCTTCATGCCTGCTCTTTCTTTTGCCAAAACAAGGACGCATACGAATCAGTTCAGACCCATCTATTTGTTCAAACCAATCCCCCAGGTACCTCAGTACCAGCTGCAACACACTTTTATTGCTGTTGTTTTTCTTAATTTAGACATCTGTTCATCAAGATCTGACCTTTTAACAAAAGGTTTCCAAAACATATCAGATAGGAATATCTTTTATCCACTGCTGCCCTGATGGAAATACCTGCTGTAAAAGCAACTTGCTTATAAATTACCTCTTTAACAGGAAAGCAAATGTTAATATCTCATTAAGCATTTGGATTGATGGTATTTTTATGTTTAGAATACGTTTTCCAAAGGCCAGATTTTCAAGAAACTTCACTTTCAAACCAGATTTTCTTGTTTCCAGAAATTGTGACTGGGGCCAGACTCTTAACAAAGTTCTGTTCTCATCTAAACACCTAAATGATGATCAGATTTACAAAGTACTCAGTATACAACAGCTCTTGTGGGGACTCATCAAATCTGAAAGACTTTCAGAGAGGTGCCAGTGTGCCATGTGCACTAGAAAATCAGATTACTTATTTTGCAAACTAAAAGTGGGACCTTTTGCAAATTCTGGACCAAATGAACCTATGAAAATCCTGGGCATACTTTCAGAGAACAGGTTGTAAAATACAGCAATTTTTTCCTTACTTCTGTGAATTTCTAAGGAACAGAAGGCCAAAGCTTTTCTACCCGAGGATTTTGTCCTGCAGCACTGGTATTTTTGTTTCTAGAGCTCGAGCAGTGTCGTGGAGACATTTTTACCTCACAGAAAAGCAGCAGTGCTGCAGCACAAGTGTATGATCTCCATCAACTGCAAAGCACCCTCTTCCTGGAGGATGAACACATACATTGGAGAAACACTATGTAAAACGAAAGTTGGAAATAATGTATGTTTGCTGTCTTCTGTAGGATGACTCCCTGCACAATGAAACTCTGTAAGAGTTTTGCAGATCATGAGTTTCTTTTCTAGACTATGCAGAGAGCTATGTTTTGATTAATCAAAATCCAGGAAGCTGTCAGTCGGGAACATGGGACACAGAACAAGACAAGGTGTCTTTTGTCACTTTTTTGGACTCATTGATTGTGCTGATGCAGGTGGTCAACTCAGACAAATCCTTTCATAAACTTCATATTTAACCAGTTCCATTTTTTGTTCCTGCTATTGCTAATAAATTCTGTTCAAGAAAAGACCCATTCTGATTGTTAGAAAGCTTCCTTTAATTTCCACTCTAACTGTATTTCAAGCCACTCTTTATTCCTTTCTACCTGTGCCAGCATTGTCCTTTATCCATGCTGTCTCCTGGCTGTTTACCAACTTGAAGCATTCATCTAATGCACCCAGGCTCTTGGGCTCTGTTTTGCTACCCTGAACCAGGACAGCTGTCTCACAATGCTGTTTGCAGCTCTCTCTGCAGGTTTGAATTCCTCTTTCTTGAACATGGATAAGCAGATCTGCACATCTGCAGACTTCTAGATCTTACTGACTCCATAATTTCAACAGCACTAAGTGCAAGAGGCATTATAACAGAGACAGTGTAGAAAACAGGAGATGGGAGAAAGGGACAGGTGTAACATCTCACCTAAAGCAACCACATTCAGGTATTGGTTTAAAGATAAAAAAGGTAAAAAAACCCTGACTATCATTTTACATTTTTAACTGCTCAATCTTTGTGTAAGAAGTAAACTGCTAAAAA